CATACTTGCGACGGGAGTATAGGAGGATTAGCGATTCGATGTTTTGGCAAATCGCGCGTTCTAAGCGAACCTGAAATTCATCTGATCTTTCAAGACGACAGCCTGACACACTCTCCTTCAGCGCGCATCTACAATTCTCCTATTCTTTCGTCGCGAAGTATGAAGACAGATAAATGACGGATTCCCCTGAAGTCACACACTTGTGTGAGTATTGTGTCCTTCTTTGGCCCACTTTTGCTCTGTTCTCCATAAAGCCTGTTTCGTTGGTTTTAGCTATAAAGCACGTAGCACGCTATAGCTGTTGAAGTCGGTCTGTGAAGGGTCATCTTTATAGATGACTGGACTAAATAATAAGGAAAGAAGGTTTATGGTTAGCAGTTCCATTGCAAATGAAAGTAGATGAAAGAGGATTGTGCACGGCGCAGGTCCGTCATGCATGAACACCATCTGACTATGAAATAGAGTTAGGCGTGAGATACGGTATTGCCCTGCTTTACGTAATCACACTAAGCTCCGAACTGCTGAACGGCAACTGTTGCTGGTAAACTATCGTTGTTTATTCTAGTTGTTCCTGTTTTCAATAAGATATAATGCTGGTTTATTAGCCCGCAGCAGGAAGGAAACAATAGTTCTTACTCGTTGTTGAGAGTATTTGTTGTCTTGTAGCTATCTTTGCTTGTTCTTTTGGCCTTGCTTTTGTGAGGCATGTCGCACTGAAATCTTGTGAGTAAAGTGGAAAAGTGATCCTATTTCGAAGTAGGCGCTTAACCACTTCGGTGATTTTTAGCAAAGTTCCAGTGGGTCTTCCTGAAGGTGACCTCACCATCGGTTTTCCTTATTTTTTCCAGTTGTTAAAGCAGTGGTACTGAAGCAGAATTCATCTCAAGGTCATAGTATTGCAGATTTTCTCCCTGGGTATCACCAAAGGCTGTAATGAGGTTAGTAGTGACGGCTGCAGTAGCATTGCTGGTGTTGAGCCGTTGTAGTAGTTGTGCCTCGGCGGAAACTGAAGATAACGAGTTCGCCGAATTCGAGGTGGGTCTTGATCGTAAGTGTCTTTCAATGTTCGACCACTTTATATTATACATTCAAAGCAGCATTCAGGATGAGGAGGTGGAAGAGGTAGAACAGCCACAACCAGCTAGTCATAGCACCGACAAGAAAGCTGCAAAAGAAGAAGTTCAAAAACAGGTTAGCATTTACTTGTACTCAACATCTATTATGACTATGCACCTGTTTTTGTTGCCTTGCTGGAAGGCTAATTTTAAAGTTATAGCGTAAATGAACCCTTCTGTTTTGTTGTTCTGCCTAGTTCCGGACGGAGTCCCCTTTCTTTTTAGTCGTCACCACCTGCACCAGTATAAGGCGTGTTCTGCCAAAACTCTTGACTTTGATGGGCTCCGCATAAACTTGTGGAGTAGCTTAGCTGAGTACCAAAATTATCAAAGACTTTTTTATACTGACATTCCGGTGTTGTTGCCTTCTTCAGAGCCTGGAAAGTCGAAAGACATACTTACCTAGTGTGAGACTTTCCACGAAACTTGCCAGATTCGTGGAAAGTCTCACATTATGCACTATTTTGTGTGTTCTCCTCCCATTTCTTCTTTAAAGCTCCCAATGATCGCTTATCCAAGACGTCGAGGTCCAGTCTTTCCCTATCGGGTGGACTTCGTACATCTTGAGCACGTTAATATTCACAGTCGCTGCTCTCGTGCCTATGGTTGGAGGCCGTCAACACGACCGCCCCGGGTCTCCGTTTCTGACTCTTTTCAGTATGGTCCAACTAGAAGCCCGTTTCACCATCCCCATTTCAGCAAAGTGTAGCTGCCCTTATTGTTCGTGTCCATAGTCAGTATTAGCTGCCATAGAGCATCACAGGCCCTGCCTGCCTAGTACAAGTTGCCGTTGAGCGTTCTAGAGCACAGTCTTTAGCGGAGGACACCGGTCATTTTTACCCAGGGTCTCCAGACAAACAATATCTTTTCCTCTTTTTATGTGTTTTTTTTTTTCAGAAGACAGACGATTTTGATGACGACTACGGAGTTGTGGAAGATGAGGAAGATACGAAGGAGAAAGAGGATGAGCAGCAACCAGTGCAGCCCTTGAAATTTGCTGATGTGAGTATGTCTCTCGTTCATGTTTTTTTTTGAAAAGCTTTTCTGAAACAAATCACCTCAGAGGCAGACTTGAATCTGTTCTAGTATTATGCTGTAATTTCTCGAAACTAAGTTTAAATTTCACCGAGCTAAACGTGTGAGTGCTGTAAGGCTTCGGCGTAATAGCCGTTAAGCTGAGAGAGTAAAAGCAGCCCTGGTGGCGTAACATGCGCACTCACCCGGAAAGCGTGAGATATGGGTTCGACTCCCGCCTGGGATGCGACTTTTGCTCATAACTCAGCATTCTTGTGATAATATCTCGAAACTAAATTTCTGACACCTGAATCATTCAAGCTTGGAAGTTTTCAGTTTTATTGCGTGTTCTGTATCAGCAAATGCTTACCTGCGTACTACTTTTCGGATGTAACTGCTTGCTATTTTGAAATCCGAGGAGTTGCACTCTTTCAAAATTGCTTATTGTTTATGCAAAATGTGTCCCATTTGTCGTTGGCTTTTTTTATAGAAATGGCTTTAAAAGGTCCTTTGGCACAGTTTGGCTTGGTAGGGCGCATTTTGTGGCTTCCATCGATCACTGCCGATCTCTCCTGTGGGGACTGTGAACTGAGTCTGTAGGTTGTACCATGATGTTACCTGCGATGTAGTAATAACTAGGAGGAGAAACTAGCGGAAGTGCAAAATGCGCCCTTCCTCTTAGCCAAACCGTCTCCTTTCTTCGTAGAGGTCATATTTAGCACCCTATGTCGTCTTTATACGCAGACCGAATTACAACTGCATGTATACCAAATAGCGTGTCAGATTTGCATATTTAATAGAGCGCGGCATTGCAAATTAATCCTTGCGCGCCCAAGTGTATTGACCTGCCATAGGATTTGTAGAGCAGCACCTTCGATATGTGAATTTCACATCGCAACAAATCTTGAATAACTCCATAAGTCTTCGTACATGAATACAGTGAAAACTGAAGCGCGAGTTCGGAAGGGTTGTTGCTGCTTCTCGGTCATGATAAAGCTTCGTGATGTCAGCATAGGTTTGTGACCACCTTATGTTTTGGCAAACAGTTGGATCTACAAAGGATAGAGCACATCCTGCCATTGAAGAAAAATCTCGAGAAATAGACTTTTTCTCGGAGACTCCTCTGACATGGTTCCCTACCACTCTGCCGAAGTTTCCCAATAGTTCTCCAGTTTTTTTTTCTACGAAAAACTACTGTCGCCGCGCTCAAGAAAGGGGGCTGTGTAGAGCTCATGAAAAGGGAGAACCGAGAGAGACAAACACAAGGAGCATTCTTCTCGAAGGAAAATGTGACCCCCTCGCTCCCCCTCACTTCCTCCCTCGAGCGATCAGATACGACACTGGACATACCCAGTGTACGGTATGTTTTGACAAGCGAAAAGATTTTATCTTTTGCAATACAATGTGACCTGCGGCGTTCACATTTCATCAAAAATTCGAAGATTCCTATGAATATTAGGTACCGTGACTACACACAGTTCTCTTTTTTATGACTGCTGATTTGAAGACAGCAAGCAACAGGACGCGTAAGACATACTACATTTTTCCGGAAAGACTGAGTGACGGCTCTCATTATAAAGGACGTACTCAAATGCCACTCTTGCAGGTGCCTGCCCATTTCCGATCAAATTGGGCATCCTATCAAGTGGAAGCTCTGGTTCTAGCATTGATTGCCATGTATCTACTTAACTATGTTATTGGTCGAAACACTAATCAATCGATGGCATTGGAGTGGTTCGATAACGTCAGAGGTCTGCTCGAGCAGCAATTTGCCTTGGTTAGTGCTTGGACGGACTATTGCTTGATATCTGTAGATCATTGACAGCAGTCATTTGTATTCTCATGGTTGACGCATCCTCCATTTCAGGTAGGAGACGATGGGGTGAATGCATATCCAGAGAGTGGAGCCGCGGTTCAAAGAGAAACTGATTGCTCTTATACAGTTTGGTGCTCAGGTAGAGTAGGCGTCAATGGCATGCTCATTCAGGTATGATCTCCGCTTAATATACAGTCTTGTTCGCTGCGAATGATGGAGCGCGTCAAGGGGATGGGTTTGGCGCGGCACCAGCCCGTCTTTTCTCTTTTCTTTTCTTCTAGTAAACAACAAGGCTGTATAATATCGTTCGCATCAGTCCTTTTCCACCAACTGTTGTCGCGCACCCGCTTCAGCAGCTGGTGAAGAACAGGCACGAAACCCAGCCTGACCGACACGGCTCACCATCCACCGCAAGAACCTGTTTTCGCGTTTTTTTACAAAGTTTGAATTCTGTCCGTACTTGCATCCAGGTACGCTATAGTGCTCGTTTCAGATAAGAACCATGAAGCGTCAGGACCTCATGAGTCGAATTATGGGCATCTTCACACCACAGAAGGATGTCATCACATTCAAGGTACAGGATTTCAAAGCATTGAAATTAGATTATATCCATTCATTGTTTCCTGTTCTGCAGAAATATTTCCGGTACTAGTGGTCATTACTACCCCAAAATCCAAGTTTTTCTGCTGAAGCTTTGCCTATAGGGTAATCCGGTGCCAGATCTCTGAAGTGGCCCTCGTTTTTAGCGTCGGCGCCACTTGATGCGGCGACTTTTTCCACCAAAATCGGAATACACTTGAACACTAGGGTTATTTGGGTGTTCTGATTACAAATGTGACATTCATTCTTGGCGCCGGCGTTAATGTAGAGCACTCTATCATCTGCGCTTTGCCAGACTGAGCCTGGTGGGAGGGAATCACTCTTTCTCATAGAATCAGCCTTAACAGAGTGCTCAGAAAATGGGTGCTATATTCGTCATTAGCGCATAAGACAACCCTACTTTCAAGTTTTTATCGGTTTTGGTGAGAAACGTGATGACAATTAGATCTCTGTTGAGTGTGCAGGATCGTGCGTGGAATTCATTTCTCCTAGAATTTCCAGTGAAATGTTCTTTCAAGGTAGGAAAATTGCAGTTAGAACTGGATCCTGGTGAGCTGGATTCATTTGTGATGATCTTTGGACAGAAGAAGTCTGTTGTGAAGCAGTACAAGGAGATGTTAGACCTGTCAACCTACACTGTCGAGAAAAAGAACACACCCCAGTTCGGGTTGCCAGCGAGGTTGATTTTAACGAAATCCTACATTTTTCGTTCAGGATTACTGGTTTGCTCCTCATTCATTGATGACCTGTGCTACTAGGTGTTATTTTCAGCTTTGCCCTCTACGCTGAACAGTCTGAAGCTACCTATGCAATCTTTGAACCGGGCGTTGTTGCAATTCTTCGTAAATACGAAAAGGCAATCGAACACGTGCACATCTCGGATCAATACAGTGGCCAGAAACCTCCTGAGTATGTTTTCAATTACCGTTAAGTAGTAAATCAATGTGTTGAATGTTCTTCTAGGGGAGAAACGTACACTCGGTTACCCGAAGTCGTTCGATTGGTGCAGTTTTGCCTGAATCTAGACGAGTGCCGCGATAAGGATGCACAAGCGGAACTTCTTCATTTGATGTTCTATATTGTTGACAAGGTGCGCTTCAGCAGTCTTATTATTATTACTATTATTAAAACATTACTAATTACTATTATCAATAGTGTTTCTGCTGTTTTTTATTGTCATTGTTGATTTATTATTATTATTATTATTATTATTATTATTATTATTATTATTATTATTATTATTATTATTATTTATTACTATTGTTATTATTATTGTTATTATAGGTACGAAATTCCGTCATGAGTAAGGGGCGAAACAAAAAGCGCGACAAGGGGGGAGGGTGATAAGGCGCGAAGTGGAGGAGGCAATTCATAAAACGGCACTCATCAAGCTGAGAGCATATGAAGCAGCACAGGTGAGGAGTTACGCTCATATACCTTGTGCTTGTTGAAACGCTGTTGTGATAATAGGTATACTACAAGGGTTCTTGTGCGTCAGTATTTAGTACGTGCAAGGAACGCATGGTTCTATTGGCTACCCATTTTGATATCCATAGTTTTTGCTCTTCAGGCTCGACGTGAAGAGAAAACTCGGGAGCGAAAACAACGTCTATTGGAGGAAGAAGATCCCGAGAAACAAAGGCGTCTTGAGGTGTGCTTCCCTTTCTTTCTTGTTTCCTAGTTCTCTATTGAACGGTCCGCTCAACGTGTTTTCTTCGGATATTTTCTGCTTTTTGGCATAGCCATTGCATTTCGAGGTAGCAGAGGTTCGTATCTCGCGTGCTTGAGGCGGCCGCTAGCATTGTGGCACAAAAGGTGCTTTTTTCGATTGCATTGTCTTTGAGTGGACACAGTTTTATAAGGCAGTTAGTCCCATTTCCTTTATTTCAGCTTGCGGCAATGAAATTTAGCAGGTCGCCAGCTAACATAGGAAGGTTGTGTTGAGGTTGTGGCGCGTTTTTTTTTTAAAATGGTTTGTTGCTCGTTGGTAGGGGTCTCATGCAAGGTGTTACAGAAATGGGTTTTTCGGTTTTTTGCGTTATGCGTTGTCTGGGGAGGTTCAAAAATCTGAGTGAAAACAATTTTGATCTGATGATAATCGCGATTTTAACCGTGTTAATGGGCTCTGTTGTAGCTGTAACTTTGACAGTGCATAATTCATAAGGTGTCCCTTCACTATGTATTGAAAAGATAGCAAGGTAAAGCCAATAAGTAATAGTGGAGCTGGTATGGGGAGTATTACCTGGAAATAAGAAGTTACTTGAAGAACGATTCTCGCATGGGGGCCCGCTGCTGTCGCGTCGGTGGATCGGCGCAATGGATAGTGGCGGTGGGGGCTGCTCGCGACGAGGTTCGCTTGAGATGGATCCCCTTGGGCGACTTAAACCGCCTTTGCATTTTTCAGATACTTTATACGTTTTTTGGTTTTGGATTTACGAGACCCATTTTTGACCACGGCGCAGCCTAGCGCCGACTTGCTGCAAGAGCATTCTTCCACTGAATTGTTGCCAACACGCAGGGGCTGTTAAGCGCTCATCTCGAGGAGAAAATTTTTGCTGAAAGTTTGTGAGGTTATTAATGGCCCTGATGACGATTCTGACTTTAAAATTGGCGTCTAGGTCATTTCGCGCCAACATGGCTCTGAACACCCCCGCTCCAGCTGGCGCAGCTGCGGCTTGGATGCTGCGAGAATCAGTTACATTGAGAAACTAGACAATGCGCTGCCTCACTATGTGCCAAATAAAGTACTTTTTTACTTTGAATTGTATTGTTTTCGATGCAGTGTCGACGAAGGTCTCATCTGCTATGCATACTTAACATTATGAATAGAAAAAGCCTCGGAAAAATGGTTCAAAATCGCTTCTCCCCCAGCAAACTTTGCGCACGTGGACAGTTTTTGACCTACCCAGAAACGCATAGCAAAAATGAAACCCATTTTTGTGATCCTTATTCGGACCTCTACAACATGCAACAAATCATTTCCGAAAAGCGCGCCACGACCTGAAAGACCTCCCTTGTAAGTGGTGCAAAATGCCTCCTTCAACACTGAGCAGCACCCCATTTTCGTGTTGTTTGGTTACTATCAGTACACGGAATGTAGAAAAGCATGGCAGTGCTATCTTAAATTATGACCTTTTCAGAAACTGGAAATGAAACGAGAAGCGAAAGCAAAGCAACCGAAGATGAAACAGCTCAAAGTTAAGATGTGAATCGCACTGACTGGTCTGTCTATGTTGGACTCTTTCACGGTTTTTTTTTGTTGAACTAATTAATTAATTATTGTTGCGATGATGTTGATCTGTCAGATTGCGACACAGGTTGTTATAGGCACGGTTTTTTAGGACTTTATCTAGTGGTGAACTTACTTTTTTGTGACATGTACTTGTTTATAAACGTTTTCTCTGGGACGAAACGCCCTGTCCTTCTTAGCTCTGTCATCGAGTATCAGTGATTACATTCGCTTAGATGTTTTATATTTCCTCTTCTGTTCTTCTATCGTTGATGTTTTTTTTGAACATGTTGAATTATTAGGCGAAATAGCTTTGCTATGAAATGTTTAATGTGTTTGAAAAATCTATGAATAAATGAAATGATATTTTCTTACTGTCGATTCATGAAATTGTGCCTTGGAATCTTATTCCCTGTCCTGGTTTCTTTATTTTTTTTTGCGATCATGGTATTCGTTTAATGTAGTTTTTCTCGTCTGAATTTGTCTCTTCCAGCTGGAAAGGGAATAGGGTCACCCGGGGAATGACCACATTTTCCTAGCTGGATTCTGTTCCAAAAACGGTTCAGAGCTGCTTTCAGTTGAGCCACATTTGGGTCTTTCTACAATGAACGAAAGCTAGATTGTCTGCCTACGAACCTCTCGAGAGGCCTTTTATCAGAGATCCGACTTGCCACAAATTATTGTTT